GGGGGGGGGGGGGGGGGGGGGGGGGGGGGGGGAATAATCCTGAAAATTACATGAGATACTAGAAATAAATAAAGCACTTTATCTGAGCTGTCTTTGCAATTAAATTACATCTTGAGTAAATGAGTAAATACCTTTTAAAACTTATACCATAAATATAACTTAGTACAGTAGTAAAAGAAGCCAGTCACAATGACAATAAAGTGATAAGAATTAATACAAATAATTTAAATAAAATCAGCATAACCATAGCCTTCCAAATTGTACACAAAGATACCACAATGTGGAATTCCTATTTTCAAAACAAAAGTCAGCTCCCTTGGATAGGTTTCAGCATAATTTAACCCAGATATCTAACAGTTTTGAATTCCCAAACCATTATTAGATTTTGTTTCCCTTGAAGGTTCAAGAAATCTAGATTCCACTGTCTACACACACCAGTGAAAAACCAACACCATGTTCTGGAGTCAATAATTTAAAATTTATACTAATTCTTCTGGGCTATTTTACTTCTAATAATTTAACTTAGTTACATTTTTCTTGGTGCAAAGTGACTTTAAAATGCTTGATGTGTCTCAGTTCTTTCCACATGTACCAATTCTGAAGACACACCGCTGAACAATTTCACCGTTGGCTTGGCAAACAGTAGAATTGTTAATTATTTTCTCAGTTTCCATCTTTTTCTCCTGTATTTGTCCTCTCTAAAATCTGCCTTAAAAAATATGCATGAAACCTTGTATCCTCTGTCAATTCTGGATGAAATGCAGTTGCGATCAAGTTGTCTTGAGCCACACCCACAACTACAGGTTCTTCTCTTTGCGGCAAATCAACAGTTGCTAGGACTTCAACTTTAGGACTGTTGACTGACACGACTGCCGGAGCCCGAATAAAAACACCGTGGTAACCAGTATCAGTGTCCCCATTACTGCATCCATTAACAGTCCCACTTTGAGCAAAAAGGAATTTATCATGAAGGTTGACTTTTGCCTCAAAACTGTTCACCTGACGTCCAAAAAAATTCCTGGAAGTTGTGACATCAATACCACCAATCTAATGATAAGGAATAAAGTACAATAAAATTAATTCATAAGCCATTATCTTTAATAATCTAAAATCTCTCTGCATCTATATTGTATTCATGTTTAGCTCAAACACAGTCTGTTTTGTAGTAAAAACAAACTACAAGAACTGGTTTTAACCCTGCACTTGTCTATTTCTGTGGGTTTTTTTTGGCATTTTCCTTTGTTTTATGTTTCTTTCCACTGTGTGAGTGTGTAGTTGGAAAAAAAAGCTCTAAGAAATTTTCACCTCAATGGGGAACAGGAGGCAGGAACCCTTGGTAAGGGAAGTCCATGGGAGGCAGAATAAGAGAAAGTGAATAAGACGATTCCTAAGGTGACAGGGCTCTAACTACCAAAGGAATGGAAGAATCTGCCCAGGGCAAGGATTCTTCTGTTTCTCTGTTGCACCACGGTCTAAATGATCTTAGATTAATCTGTTTAGTAAAGAAACCCAAAATCCATTTTTTGATTTAGGAATCCAATCTTGGGTTTTCCCAGAATAGCGAAGACTGGATGGTAATTATCTTGGGATGGGTAATCCTACAAAAATTGGGTGGGGGTGTTCGGACTGCTTCCCAAAACTCTTACACTATTTGTGACCAAAATCTGGGATTTCCCTACCCTATTTATGCCCTGACCCTTAATACCCTGTTTCAGACCTGTCTTATAAATTAATTCTCTGGTTCAGACCAATGTTAAGTTGCTATGAACATACTTTGTGAAGGGCTTTTCTTGACGTTCTTATCGATAATGATGAAAAAGTAGCTTCCTCTTAAAAACATACCCAATTCAAGACTAGAACTTGCAAAAACTATACGCTATCTATGACCAAAATGGCCAAAATCGATACCCTATTTATGACCAAAACGGCTGCAAAACCATACCTTTTGCGCCCGCACGTACCTACATAGCCCATTTAAGAAGTACCACCCTCCCCCTGTGCGTAATTATTATTAATAATTTTTAAAAGGCTACAATCTCGTGAAAGACAGTCATGGATATAGATCTAGGAGGAATAAAGGGAAAATATCCTATTCAGAAAGACCCAGAACAACTGCGCCCTCTGTTAACTCTATAAAATGCCCCACGTTTGACAGAGTACAAACTCCCCCGTCCCCCACTCGCCAGCACGGGAACCCCCTGTTGTTCGTTTCTACCTTTGATTGTCCACCTTCTTTCTGAGCCTCTATATCATTTGAAAGTAAAATCAAACCAGCGCATGTTCCCCACACAACTTTGGGTTTCTCTTTGGAAGCGACCCAGTCTTTCAACTCGTCTTCAAAGTTGCTAGACTGAAGGAACAAACTCATGGTGGTGCTTTCCCCTCCGGGTAGAATCAGGCCGTCCAAGTCCGACAACTGATGTGGTTCCCTGACGTCTAAAACCTCGACGTCAATGCTTCTGCTGAAGGTCGAATTCTTCGCAGCTTTGAGCAATGCCGCTCTGTGCTCGAAGAACGCTCCCTGGATTGCCAAAACGCCGATACGTAAACGGGCGCGAGTTCCTGACATGTTGGATGACTCGATTTACACTGCAATAATTGCGTAAGACAGGACCTTTTATATGAGAGGGGTGGCTCGAATGTTGTAAAGCCGTCACATTTGTGGTTATCGCCAATTGTACTAATATGTTTTTAATTTTAAATTATATGAAAATTTTAGGAACATTGATTAAATATCGAGTCTTTATTACAATAAATCGGTTAGTTTCATACCATGGGTTATCAACATTGAGTTTCCTTCCCTCTACCTCCCCTTGAGTTCTTGGTGTTTGAGCCCGCGATATTTGCTGTCTTTTACACGTGTTGTCTTTGAAAACCTGGTCAAATTTGGTCATTAAACCATCAGTAACTTCTACTTGCTTGCATAACAGACGGATCTACGAAGCACTCCTGCAGATTGTGGAAGCACTAATTTCATCAAGTAGCCATGTCTAATACGATTCCAGTCCCGAATGTAAATGGTGTAACAAGCGGTAAGTTGTGTATTGCTAATATTCATTTACCAAACTAAGTTACATGTAGTACTTTCTTGTAAAACCAATCGAAAATTGCCCACTACGTACGATTAGACAGGCACTTAACAAAAAAAAACCTCCTTTACTTGATGTTTAGTTTGGCCCAAGATAATGCAATTTCATCAGTGACTTAATGTTTCTTGGTTGTTGTAGATAAAAGCTGTCCAAAATAAATTAAGAACCTAACCGTACTGTCCGTTATGCAACACAGCTTTCGGATCGAGTCCCTTTACCTATGCGTTGCTTGCGTCGTCAATTAGGTTAAATAGCGTGATTTGTAACTACGGGTAGCGTGAAAAGACCTCAAACCGTTAATCGGCGGAAAAATTTGCTTGTCTTGTTGTGACAAACAACAATGCATCTATGTGATACCATGACAGACACGTTCTTCTTGTATACGGTCACGATGATTGGTATTTCGCAAGAACTCTGATCAATGCAATTTCGTGATTTCGGAATTCAAAAATAAGGTCCAGTTAGCTTCTTTTAAGCAAGAGTAATGACAATTGTTGTTTGATTTTTAAAAAAGTTCGTAGACCTATTTTCATTAATTAAGTTAGTTTCGAAACTAACTGGCCCATGTTGACTCTGTGATGAACACCCTTTTTTGTAAACTAAAACAGTGTTTACTTAACAAAAGATAACAAAGTTGTTAGTAGAGGAGATTGACATTGGCTAGATTTAAAAGGAGGTGGAAAGGTGTAATGTCAAGTATTTATTGACCTTAAAGTCAACTCATTGCATGCCTTCAAAGCCGAATAACAAAGAAGGCTTGCTCAGTAGATGCCACAGCGAGAAGTGGAAGTTTTTAGCTAAAGCAACCCCCAGGAAGATTTTAGTTTCAGAAGTTTGTTAAACAGAACAGAAAGATAAATAGTAAAATTCTAGCTTTATAATTAGCAAAAGATACCAAAGTTGAGAAAGGGAGTGAGTGGTCATTATTAGATAGAGATGGCTGGGGGCGGGGGTGGGGGGG